TTATGCCCCACCTCTTTACTAATTCGTCTATCTTTTTTGAGATAAGATAGAGTCAGATAGTGTTATTGCCCTAGTGTTAACGTGAGACTTACAGGAATGAGACCCAGCTCTGATGATGTCCATCATATGATGGAAGAAAGCTCAGCACATTTTTACCCGGAACTAGGGAGCAAGTCTCGTGGACTGCGTCAGCATGAATATCGTATAAAAGCCAAACGGCTGCAGTATAACAAGATTTATCCTTCCTCATCTAGTGAGATCAACCAACGGATCTCTTCTTCATGCACTTTCATACGAAATGAAAGCCCCCTTATCAAATGAGAAAAAGCAAAAAACTTATGAGAAAGAATAGATAAACTGAGCGCATCAACCTGGTAAAAAAATATATTTTATAACTAAAAACATAATTAAAATCCGCAATTGAAAATGAGTAAGATAGCCACGGAATCCACCCAGTATGAAAAAAAAAATGTTGCTACTTACCTGAGCGGTGCTTGTAATGCTATTCATATTTTGTTGGGAAGTTGAAGAATCTAATACAAAAGAAATTTGCTTTCGAAGCAGGCGTTCAGCTTCGTTGTATCTGCGCATTCTTGTCCACATCCTGGCTGCTTGTCCAGCTTGTTCGGCTGCTTGAAGGTGCTTATCCTCTGCCTAAAATGTATAAAACAGCCTAAGAAGCAAACCTCACAAGCCTCTGATGAGCTCTCGTAGAACTCAGCTGCTCGTTCTGGAAGATAATCCTCCAAAGATCTAAAGAATAACAATAAACATTAAATACTTTGAGGCTTTTTCATAAACTAATGTTGCAGAGTCTGGTGATCCAGACTCTCTCAAAAGCTTCCCAGCCTCGTAAACTAGATCTGCCATTTTATGAAACTCTTTTGCATCACGGTGCATCAAGGAGGCTATTTCAAATGCCTTAGCGGCATGAAACGCGGAACCGCGTTGCAGATTAAGATGAGCAATCTTAAAATAAAAAAACAATACCTACTTTCTTATACAATTCAGCGCCTTCGTGTAGCTTTTTCGCGTTTCTGTATATTAAGGCAGCTTTCGTGTAATATTCAATTGCACCATCCAAGTCTGGCTTCCACTTTAGTAGTGATGTTTTCATACTTTCAAGTAATAAATATTATTTGTAATACCATTTTTCTGCTTCTTTTATGTTTCGATCCGCCTCCTCCAATTTAGATGCCATAGGTCAGGACAGCAAGTTGTAAGCGGCGCGGGTCCTAAATTTGAGGCTGCAAATGGGACCGTAAATGTGAACTATAAATATGCTCA